GCTGCAGCTTCCGGTGCTCCCTTAAAACACCGTCATCTCTTCTACCCATGCCCATTCTGCTACTGCTACCCCCTGTCCCCCAGCTACAACCAGGCCTACCCCTATCACGATCCCAACCCCTATCGATACTATTCCAACCCTTCCTTAACCACTCCCCCCTGTTCTCCTGTCACCATAGCTACACCACCACCTTTAATAAAAACCCCACTCTTTATTATCTAAACCACTATCATCTTATATACACATTTGTTTATGGTTATAAAGGGGCCCAGCTCAAGTAGAACACGGGGCCCAGCTCAAGTAGAACACAGGGCCTCAGCTCAATTAGAACACGGGGCCTAGCTCAAGTAGAACACGAGGCCCAGCTCAAGTAGAACACGGGGCCCAGCTCAAGTAGAACACGGGGCCCAGCTCAAGTAGAACACGGAGCCCAGTTCAAGTAAAACACTGGGCCCAGCTCAAGTAGAACACTGGGCCCAGCTCAAGTAGAACACGGAGCCCAGTTCAAGTAGAACACAGGGCCCAGCTCAAGTAGAACACGGGGCCTAGCTCAAGTAGAACACAGGGCCCAGCTCAAGTAGAACACAGGGCCCAGCTCAAGTAGAACACTGGGCCTAGCTCAAGTAGAACACTGAGCCCAGCTCAAGTAGAACACGGGGCCCAGCTCAATTAGAACACTGGGCCTAGCTCAAGTAGAACACAGGGCCCAGCTCAAGTAGAACACGGGGCCCAGCTCAAGTAGAACACTGGGCCCAGCTCAAGTAGAACACGGGGCCCAGCTCAAGTAGAACACGGGGCCCAGCTCAAGTAGAACACTGGGCCCAGCTCAAGTAGAACACGGAGCCCAGTTCAAGTAGAACACAGGGCCCAGCTCAAGTAGAACACTGGGCCCAGCTCAAGTAAAACACGGGGCCTAGCTCAAGTAGAACACAGGGCCCAGCTCAAGTAGAACACTGGGCCTAGCTCAAGTAGAACACTGAGCCCAGCTCAAGTAGAACACGGGGCCCAGCTCAATTAGAACACTGGGCCTAGCTCAAGTAGAACACGGGGCCCAGCTCAAGTAGAACACGGGGCCCAGCTCAAGTAGAACACTGGGCCCAGCTCAAGTAGAACACGGGGCCCAGCTCAAGTAGAACACGGGGCCCAGCTCAAGTAGAACACGGGGCCCAGCTCAAGTAGAACACGGGGCCTAGCTCAAGTAGAACACGGGGCCCAGCTCAAGTAGAACACAGGGCCCAGCTCAAGTAGAACACGGGACCCAGCTCAAGTAGAACACGGGGCCCAGCTCAAGTAGAACACGGGGCCTAGCTCAAGTAGAACACGGGGCCCAGCTCAAGTAGAACACGGGGCCCAGCTCAAGTAGAACACGGGACCCAGCTCAAGTAGAACACGGGGCCCAGCTCAAGTAGAACACGGGGCCTAGCTCAAGTAGAACACGGGGCCCAGCTCAAGTAGAACACGGGGCCCAGCTCAAGTAGAACACAGGGCCCAGCTCAAGTAGAACACGGGGCCCAGCTCAAGTAGAACACGGGGCCTAGCTCAAGTAGAACACGGGGCCTAGCTCAAGTTGAACACGGAGCCCAGTTCAAGTAGAACACAGGGCCCAGCTCAAGTAGAACACTGGGCCCAGCTCAAATAGAACACGGGGCCCAGCTCAAGTAGAACACTGGGCCCAGCTCAAGTAGAACACGGGGCCCAGCTCAAGTAGAACACGGGGCCTAGCTCAAGTAGAACACGGAGCCCAGTTCAAGTAGAACACAGGGCCCAGCTCAAGTAGAACACTGGGCCCAGCTCAAGTAGAACACGGGGCCTAGCTCAAGTAGAACACTGGGCCCAGCTCAAGTAGAACACGGGGCCCAGCTCAAGTAGAACACTGGGCCTAGCTCAAGTAGAACACTGGGCCCAGCTCAAGTAGAACACTGGGCCCAGCTCAAGTAGAACACGGGGCCCAGTGCAGCATTGAGCAGAGAAGCCAAATGCACCCCCAAACGGACACCGGCAGGATCCAACTCATTGCATGTCGTGTACATAGTGGGTGGTAGGGACCTTTGTTAAAACTCTGTTCCCACAGTTGGTTGGCCTCCCGCTTTCATTATTCTGTTCACAGTGATCTTAGTGAGAGGTTGATGAGGCTGTAGTTAGCTGCTCCAGTGTGGGTTGGTGCAATGGGAGAAGACCATATACATGGGAGCATAGTACAGTGCAACGGCAATCCACATAATTGCACATCTATCGGTGTATATCGATAGTGTATAGTATTGATACAATATACAGAGCAACAGTTTACGAGATAAGGATATCGTGTGCTCTACAGTAGAGTATCTAAACACGATATATTATTACTAACACTCTGCATTGACAGTTGTTTTCATTGGACATTAGCGAAGTAAGAACACCAGGAAGATAGCGATACAGACGACACAAAAGCACTGCACTATTACACAGTACAGTGATGTATTAAGCATGCACTGGAATGTGTCCATGACTGCGCTAATACGAAGCTATGCACTTAACATTGTTTACGCAATGTAACAACGTACACTGCTGCACTAGTTTACATTCTGTGTGTATTGCCCTTGATGGAAGTTACACGGTGCAGCACAGCAGGTCATAGTGCCCAGTACTAAAGTCCACACGTGGACATTTCGCACAACCTACAATAGAAACACCGCTATCCACATTTAAAATGTACAAATCATCATCACAGCTGTGGACGCAACTCATGCGCACTGTCCTGTATACAGAACAATGTAAACACATCTGCGGACTGCATTGCAACCTTACACAGCTGTTTATGTAATACATTTGCATGTTTTGTACTGTATACGGCGATAATGTAACGCAGTAGGATTCCAGCACTAAAAGCTGAACATATAAGACTACACAGTCAAGGCTGTATATTCATGTTTATTAAACATTACTGATGTATCTGCACTGTACGCGTGTGTCGTGCTGCATCATGCTGCACGACTGTATTACGTTAGTCAGTGCTGAGTACACAATGTGTACAGTAAACACAACTCGCTCTCTCCTCCTTACACAAGCACTCAAGCTGCCGCGCCCAGCTACTCAGAGCGCCATTCCACGTTCCCATGGCAAGAGGATTGTTGTTGCATTCTGTTGTTGTTTTATTGAAACTAAACCCACAACTCCCGAACCCGCGCCAAAACTCCCCTAGCCACCCACAGGCCCCCCCCCCCCTCCCGCCACTAATAAGGCTGTTTGCCCGAAACGTCGAGACGAAAGAGTCGTTGCGATGAGACCATCCCAGCTCCAGCTGCAGGAGAGCGGTGAACGGAGGCGTCGCGTAGCCGTGCACACGGGAAGGGCGCGCGAGAATCACAACAACAACAACTACAGTAACAACTACTACTACAGTAACAACAACTACTACAGTAACAAATACTACAGTAACAACAACTACAGTAACAACAACTACTACAGTAACAACTACAGTAACAACAACTACAGTAACAACAATGTCAACAACATGTACAGACGTCTAGCAGCTGACCACAACAACATGTATAGTCGTCTAGCAGCTGACAACAACAACAACATGTACAGACGTCTAGCAGCTGACCACAACAACAACATGTACAGACGTCTAGCATCTGACCACAACAACAACATGTATAGACGTCTAGCAGCTGACCACAACAACATGTACAGACGTCTAGCATCTGACCACAACAACAACATGTATAGACGTCTAGCAGCTGACCACAACAACAACAACATGTACAGACGTCTAGCAGCTGACCACAACAACAACATGTACAGACGTCTAGCAGCTGACCACAACAACATGTACAGACGTCTAGCAGCTGACCACAACAACAACAACATGTACAGACGTCTAGCAGCTGACCACAACAACAACAACATGTACAGACCTCTAGCAGCTGACCACAACAACAACATGTACAGACGTCTAGCAGCTGACCACAACAACATGTACAGACGTCTAGCAGCTGACCACAACAACAACAACATGTACAGACGTCTAGCAGCTGACCACAACAACAACATGTACATACGTCTAGCAGCTGACCACAACAACAACAACATGTACAGACGTCTAACAGCTGACAACAACAACAACAACATGTACAGACGTCTAACAGCTGGCCAAAACAACATGTACAGACGTCTAGCAGCTGACCACAACAACAACATGTGTAGACGTCTAGCAGCTGACCACAACAACAACAACAACATGTACAGACGTCTAGCAGCTGACCACAACAGCAACATGTACAGACGTCTAGCAGCTGACAACAACAACATGTACAGACGTCTAGCAGCTGACAACAACAACATGTACAGACGTCTAGCAGCTGACCACAACAACAACATGTACAGACGTCTAGCAGCTGACAACAACATGTACAGACGTCTAGCAGCTGACCACAACAACAACAACCACGACAACAACCACGACAACAACAACAACCCGTCTGTACCGGACTGGTCCCCACATCAAGGCGTGCCCCAACCCTGACACGCGAGGCTAAGCCGAGTTGAGCCTGGTCGAGTGTGTGTACTGTATATATGTACTGTATATATGTACTGTATATCTACAGTACATATATACAGTACTGTGTATATCTACACAGTACTGTATACGTGTACACGATGTGTGACCACCGCACATTCATTCGTAGCTAGGACCCTACTAGTGCAGGGCGACTACCCTGTCAGCAAAGATCCTCGTGCAACGACGTAGAGCCGTGTTGTGCTGTACTCTCCTATGCTCCCACCTCCTCCCGCCCACCACTGACCAGGCATAGGGTCTGCGTCATCCAGCAGTGGATTCACACACAGAGAGCAGAGCAAGCAGCGCACACACAACCCCCACCTCATCTCCTTACCTCGTCTCCACCACGTCTCCTTACCTCGTCTCCACCACGTCTCCTTATCTCGTCTTCTTACCTCGTCTCCTTACCTCGTCTCCTTATCTCGTTTCCTTATCTCGTCTCCTTATCTCGTCTCCTTACCTCGTCTCCTTATCTCCTCTTCATGGTCTCGCTCCTCATTCTTCCTTTCCCGTCTCCCGCAGCAGCAGCAAACGCGGCGCTGGTTAATCCGATGCAGTCCACTGTCTGACTTCCTCTGTTCAGTGTGGGTGTTGTGACGATACTCACACGTGTGTGTGTGTCTGTCTGTGTGTCTGTGTGTCTGTGTGTGTGTCTATGTGTGTCTGTGTGTGTGTCTGTGTGTGTTTGTGTGTGTGTCTATGTGTGTCTGTGTGTGTGTGTCTGTGTGTGTGTCTGTGTGTGTGTGTCTGTGTGTGTGTGTGTCTGTGTGTGTGTGTCTGTGTGTGTGTCTGTGTGTGTGTGTGTCTGTGTGTGTGTCTGTGTGTGTGTGTGTCTGTGTGTGTGTGTGTCTGTGTGTGTGTGTGTCTGTGTGTGTTTGTGTGTCTGTGTGTGTGTGTCTGTGTGTCTGTGTGTGTGTCTGTGTGTGTCTGTGTGTGTGTCTGTGTGTTTGTGTCTGTGTGTCTGGTGTGTGTGTGTCTGTGTGTGTGTCTAGCGGGAGCGATAGTGTAGGGGTTAGCGCGCTGCGCTATGAACCTGGCGACCCGGGTTCGATTCCCGCTCACGGCCAACACCAGTGACGATTATCTGAACCGGTCCCGGGCCTCCCCTAGGTCGACTCAGCCTCAAATGAGTACCTGGTGCAGTGTGTAAACATCGCCACTAGGGAGACAAAGGCGGTCGGGCGTGGTGCTGGCCACCCACCCCCTCGTGTACCGTTCCGGCCTTCATAGGTGCTCGCTAACAGCACTTGCCCCTACAGTCTGTTAAGGCTATATGGGGAATCTTTGTGTGTTTAACTCGTGGTTGAAAGATCTGGGCACGGACCCATCGGTGAGCTCCTCCGGCAGGCAAGGCTGCGTTGGCTGGGTCATGTAGCCCGCATGCCCAGCCACCGCATGCCGAAACAGCTTTTGTTCGGCCGGATTGAGGTGGCTAAGCGGGCGCGGCACGGGCTAGAGAAGAGATGGAGTGTTGTGGTACAGGAGGACGTGGAGCTGAGTGGACTTGCCGATGACTGGTACCAGCGGTGTCAAGATCGGCCTCTGTGGAGGAGGCTCGTGAAGGACGCTACTGGGCAGTTGGAGGCAGTCGCCCTCCAACAACAACGGAGGGCAGAGGAGCGACGCTCACAACAACGAGCGGAGCGCCGGGTGGCTAAAGCACAGCAGGTTGGCACAGTAGGGGGCACAGGTGGTGCATCAGCCAGTCATCTCAGTCAGTCGACCCGTGGCACCTGGGTCTGCCCCGTGACCTCCTGCCAGCGGGCGTTCGACACTTCACGTGGCCTCAAGGTGCACATAGCCTGGCACAAGCGTCGTGGTGACGTCACCGCCACTTAGTGGCGAATGGCGGTTGTTGAGTGTGTGTGTCTGTGTGTGTGTGTGTTGTCTGTGTTTGTGTGTGTGTGTCTGTGTGTGTGTGTTGTCTGTGTGTGTGTTGTCTGTTTTTGGTAATAGCTGCTCAGTCAGAGGAGGAGTTGGAGACGCTGCTGCTGAGACTGGAGCGTGCCACTAAGAGGTGGGGCCTTACCATCAGCCCCACCAAAACTAAGCACCTGCCTGGGTATTTTGTACCATCAGACACTCCACCCCACAACTCCCAATCGGTGATGGGGCAGTTGTGGAGAGAGTGGAGAGTTTCCCATACCTGGGCAGTGTGCTTATGGCTGGCTCCAGTTTAACAGCAGAGGTCTCTCTCCGAATCAGTCGAGCGGCAATATCTTTTCATCGGTTGCGTAACGCTGTGTGGAAGCTACCTGGTCTGTCGCTCCGCACTAAGCTTCAGGTCTTCTCGGCCACGGTCATTCCCTCCCTTCTCTACGCTTGCGAAACGTGGACCCCCCTAATGGAACATCTTCGCCGGTTAGAAACATTTAGGCTGGCCTGCCTACGATCCATCCTGGGTTTAACCAGACTGGATTGTGTGAGGAGCTCACAAATCCTTGAAAGATCTGGGCAGGGTCCCATCGGTGAGCTCCTCCGGCAGGCAAGGCTGCGATGGCTGGGTCATGTAGCCCGCATGCCCAGCCACCGCATGCCGAAACAGCTTTTGTTTGGCCGGATCGAGGTGGCTAAGCGGGCGCGGCACGGGCTAGAGAAGAGATGGAGTGATGTGGTACAGGAGGACGTGGAGCTGAGTGGACTTGCCGATGACTGGTACCAGCGGTGTCAAGATCGGCCTCTGTGGAGGAGGCTCGTGAAGGATGCTACTGGGCAGTTGGAGGCAGTCGCCCTCCAACAACAACGGAGGGCGGAGGAGCGACGCTCACAACAACGAGCGGAGCGCCGGGTGGCTAAAGCACAGCAGGTTGGCACAGTAGGGGGCACAGGTGGTGCATCAGCCAGTCATCTCAGTCAGTCGAGCCGTGGCACCTGGGTCTGCCCAGTGACCTCCTGCCAGCGGGCGTTCGACACTACACGTGGCCTCACGGTGCACATAGCCTGGCACAAGCGTCGTGGTGACGTCACCGCCACTTAGTGGCGAATGGCGGTTGTTGTTGTTGTCTGTGTGTTGTGTGTGTGTGTCTGTGTGTTGTCTGTGTGTGTGTCTGTGTCTCACCACGTGACGAGTGTCCACCTCTCTGTGTCTCTCAACGTGAGGAGTGTCCACCTTTCTGTGTCTCACCACGTGAGGAGTGTCCACCTCTCTCTCTCTCCACGTGAGGAATGTCCACCTCTCTGTCTCTCACCACGTGAGGAGTGTCCACCTTTCTGTGTCTCACCACGTGAGGAGTGTCCACCTCTCTGTCTCTCACCACGTGAGGAGTGTCCACCTCTCTGTCTCTCCACATGAGGAATGTCCACCTCTCTGTCTCTCACCACGTGAGGAATGTCCACCTCTCTGTCTCTCACCACGTGAGGAGTGTCCACCTTTCTGTGTCTCACCACGTGAGGAGTGTCCACCTCTCTGTCTCACCACGTGAGGAGTGTCCACCTCTCTGTGTCTCTCACCACGTGAGGAGCGTCCACCTTTCTGTCTCACCACGTGAGGAGTGTCCACCTCTCTGTCTCACCACGTGAGGAGTGTCCACCTCTCTGTCTCACCACGTGAGGAGTGTCCACCTCTCTGTCTCTCCACGTGAGGAGTGTCCACCTTTCTGTCTCACCACGTGAGGAGTGTCCACCTCTGTGTCTCACCACGTGAGGAGTGTCCACCTCTCTGTCTCACCACGTGAGGAGTGTCCACCTCTCTGTCTCACCACGTGAGGAGTGTCCACCTTTCTGTGTCTCTCACCACGTGAGGAGTGTCCACCTCTCTGTGTCTCACCACGTGAGGAGTGTCCACCTCTCTGTGTGTCTCACCACGTGAGGAGTGTCCACCTTTCTATCTCACCACGTGAGGAGTGCCCACCTTTCTGTCTCACCACGTGAGGAGTGTCCACCTCTCTGTCTCACCACGTGAGGAGTGTCCACCTCTCTGTCTCACCACGTGAGGAGTGTCCACCTCTCTGTCTCACCACGTGAGGAGTGTCCACCTTTCTGTGTGTCTCTCACCACGTGAGGAGTGTCCACCTCTCTGTCTCTCACCACGTGAGGAGTGTCCACCTCTCTGTCTCTCACCACGTGAGGAGTGTCCACCTCTCTGTGTGTCTCACCACGTGAGGAGTGTCCACCTCTCTGTCTCACCACGTGAGGAGTGTCCACCTCTCTGTCTCACCACGTGAGGAGTGTCCACCTCTCTGTCTCACCACGTGAGGAGTGTCCACCTCTCTGTCTCACCACGTGAGGAGTGTCCACATCTCTGTCTCACCACGTGAGGAGTGTCCACCTCTCTGTCTCACCACGTGAGGAGTGTCCACCTCTCTGTCTCACCACGTGAGGAGTGTCCGGCAAAACAACCCCCTACCTCCTCGCGGTGCCGGACGGGGAACCCTGTCGTGGACAGTGCTGTGGGGGGAGGAGCCAAGTCCGATTGGCTCCTCCCCTCATGGCGTCTGTGACCACAGTGGCTAAACGGGGGCTCTGGAAGGGAGCGAGGTGCTGGTAACCCCTCCACCTTCAATAAATTACCACTAAACCACGAATTAAATATGTAACTAATAAGCTTGTGCCGGAGGCCCCGGGGGGACAGGCATCTATGACGTCTCCTGGCCAAACCCCATTTGGCGGAGCCAGGAGATTGAATCTCTACCCTCGGGGCGCCTCCAGAAACAACGAAAAGCCACTTTGTGTGGCCACGTGGAATGTTCGAACGCCCACTGCGGAGGAGAGGCTGCCACTGCTCTGTCGGGAGCTGGACCGGTACCGCATGGATCTCTGTGGCATTCAGGAGGTCCGGTGGACCGGTTCTGGCTACTGCCATCATGAGGGGTGGACAGTCCTCTACTCGGGGCAGCAGACTGCCAAACAACAGGGTGTGGCTCTTTTTTTAACAAAAGAATGAAGGGGGCATGGGAGCGTGGCGGTGAGGTGTGGGAAGCTGTAAGCCCCAGGCTACTTTGGGCTCGCCTTCCCATCAACCGGAGGCGAGGAGTGGTGGTCGTGGTTGCTTATGCCCCCACCGAAGACGAACATCCGTGGAGGGATGCAGGCAAAGCCGATGAGTCAGATGCCTTCTATGACCTGTTACAGGTGCTGGCTAAAGTGGCCCCTCGGGATAGAGTCATCTTGTTGGGTGACTTCAATGCCCGAGTTGGTCATGATGCTGGCACCTGGTCTGGAGTGATTGAAGGGCATGGGCTAGATCAGCTCAATAGCAAGGTAGGAGGCTGCTAGATTTTTGTGCAGCCCATTGGCTTGTAATTACCAACACGCTGTTCCGGCATCGGCACATCCACACAACATCATGGATGCATGCCGGGTCCAAGCAAGAACATCTGCTGGACTACATAGTGACGGACCAGCGGATGCGAGCCCATGTCCTTGACACCAGGACCTACCGTGGAGCTGATCTGCCCTCTGACCATCTACTAGTCATCTGGTGGTGGGTGTACACCCAGGACCCCATTCCAACCTAAAGTGGACTGGTCTCAGTTATCTGATGAAAGATGCAAGCGAGAATTTCATCATCGCTTGTGGCTGGGATTGGCATCGTCCCCGACTCCTGATGTCGAGGGTAAATGGGCAAGGTTTAGGACTGTGACTCATGCAGCTGCAATGGCTGCTTTGGGTACGCGGTCCAGACCTCCCCAGAGACCCTGGCTGACAGAGGAGGTGTTCAGGATGGT